TGTGTGAATATCTGAGTGCTTCATGGTCTATTGAGGAACTGAGGGGATGACCATACAAGCATATTGGGGCAATCAGACAAATGTACAGATCGTTATTTAGTTTGTTTTTGGTGTGGTTTTGTTTGCCCTATTTTTCAGTGACCACATGTGTTTTAAGTTAGAGTGATTCATCCCACCCTTTTTACAGGCTGTTCTGCTCCTGTCTGGCACAACATTGTGGATGGAGTTTATTTGGTGATTTTCCTGTTCTGCAGTCTGGGTGGTTGCTTAATTCACTACCAAATAGAGCTGTGGGTGGCTTTCTCTTTGGTAACAACCCTGTGATGTATTCAGTGGGTTGTGATATATACAGAATATATCGCAGGGTTGTTAACAGCCCTTTACAACCCTCTTCTCACAATTTTTACTGCTCTCCTAAATGATGCAGCATTATTTCAGATATAAGGGAATACCCTTATTATGTATTACTGTAGTGCTATGCTACTTACTAAAACCAAAACAAGGGAAATTGCCATGGTCTGTGGAATGACACCCATGACAAAAGATGGGGAAAATGACAGGGGGAGGCATAGGTAATTGAAAGGGGGAGAAACTGCAGCAATCTGAAGTGCTGTCCGGATCCATCTCACTGGAGAAGAAACATCTCCTGTGCAAATGTCAGGCTCGCTCAATTGCAGGATTAAATAAATTGCACCAAAGATAAGAACCTTTAAAACTGTGACCCAGATCACTCCAAATTCCACCATCTAGTCACACTCTCAGTTGCAAAACATGATCAATGTCCTTCAAAATATTCTGAATGTTTTTGCAAGTGTGCTTTTGATAGAAATTTATATTTAGAAGGTGGTGGTTTTTAAAAGCCTACTAAACAATTCACTTAACCATTTTTGCAAAGCCCCCAATTATTTCAGCATGTTACATTATTCTTTCAGAAATGCATTTATTTTTGTCAGTATATTTTATTTGAGGCTTATGGGCCAGCATCTTATTGCTACTCATTCCAACTGACAGTTAACTCAGTCAGTTTCTGAATAGAAAGTCATTTACTCATGTAAATGGGGGGGGCATAAAAGCAGCCATCCCAAGGAGTGGGGAAGCATTGTGAGTACACTCAGGCACCCCCTTGGCAATGGCATGAAGCCAGCACTCCCAGAAGCATTGCACTGGAACAGCACCAAACCCACCCATTTCATGGATGGCCGCTGAAGTCAAAGAAAAATCTCTGCGTGCATCTCAAGCACTGATTGCTTCTGGTCAAAAACCATCTGATTGTCTTGATATTTTAATTGTTTTTTTTAATTTTGCCTCTGTTTCACATGTGTTCATGATTCTGAATTGTGCAATTGTCTGATACCACTGAGACAATGGGTCTGTTTTAGTTCAGAGTAGCAATAGCATACAGGCCTTGACAATTTCTCTTGTCAGTAGCCATTCCTCTTCCTTCACTTCACTTTACGTTGCTTCTTTGTTCATCCTGAACAAGTCCTCCTCCTGTGAGCCACCCTTTTTTATACCCTGCCAGTATGTCTGAATCCTTTGTCCAATCACCCCCTCAACTTTCCCCTTTAATTAACAGATCACAATTTTTTTTCTCCAGTAAGTCTTCCCTAAGTTTTTAAAGCAAAGCTTTTATTTTGCCCGAAGGATCTGGATTCATGCTACCTGCACCATTGTTGTTAAGTTACGGATATCTATTAGACAACGTCTGTGGATGAGACCTTTCCTCCTCTCCAACACCACCCCTGCCCCACCCAGTGTCATTTCCTAGCTGAGTGTCCACAGAATTTCTCAAACCCCTGAAAGATTTTGCCCTCAGCAAAGCTTGTGGGGCTCAGGTAGATCTTGTTCCATTGCACTTCAGCTTTCACAGGAGTTTCTACACATTGGTACTCAGAGGTTCTTGACAGGATGACAGGTCAGTTAGATTAGACTGTCCCACCTTTCCTCCCTTGGAATCATTCAAGAGGAATAGTTCTCAGCCTCTGGTCCTCCAGATGTTCAATTTGGCAGCACTACCTCACGCCTTGGAGAGAGATGAAGTCCAAACCATCTGGGGGAACAAAGGCTGAAAACCAATGTTCCAGAAAGTGAAGGAAGGGCTGGCCATGTAGATGTGGCTGCTGAGTTAGAATGAAATGGGATTCATGAGATAATTTAATATAGTGACCCTTTGGTCTTCATGTATGATTGAGATACTTCCAGGATACAGTAAATAATATGTGTTGAATACCTGGAATCAATGCAGAGCTGATTAACTTGAGTAGAAATTCTAGCTGCCTCCCATTGGCGCCTTCCTGTCGCATCCACTGTGAATGAGGGGCTTTATAGAGCTTGGCATGTGATCCTGATGGCAAAATGTACAGCTTTTGAGTACCTACATGGTGTAAAGCAACATCAAGAAAACTTTCAGAAACTTTGGAGACCATTCATCTCCTGTATGAGCAGAACTGGTCAGTAGTCGAGAAGACCATATCTTGCTTTTCAAAAGCCTGCTTATGGTATACCAATAGCTATTTGTGCTTAATAGGCTTCAGAATACATTAACAATTTCATAGCACACATTCCGTGGGTGGTTTGCCTCTGTTCGTGTCATGATGGTGTTTTCAGTTATTTGCAAAGGGACCTACTGTCGGCTAAAGGCCTGCGTAGTAGACACTGCACATATTTCACAAATGTAAAAGGCTGCTGTGTGCTGAACATGGTCACATTTGGAGGAAGGAAGCCAAACTACTGTGGTCAGTAGTGGGCTGAAAATATATTGACATAATCACTTAAGACTGGCACCACCTTTGGTGTGGATAAACATGTCAGATGGATGTGCTATGTTAATGGGAACAGGTAAGTCCATGGGTGGTCTGTGCATGGTTGGGGGGGCAGAGCTAATGTTTTTGCTTGGTTTGGAATGATATAGCAGTGAAGCTAAGCCTCTTAGATGGTGCTTGTCTGGGTATCTCTCAATCTGTATGACTTTAGTAGCAAGGCCATAATTTTGTACAGTCTAGCTCCGTCTGTTAAGAGCCAAAGATCTTTAGTCACTGGAACATCCTAGGTTGGTCTGGAAGTCACAAATACTAATGAAACACTTTCACAGCATAGCATCTATTACTACCAGCTAAATGCCGGTGTGGAATAGTGGATGGATTGTCAGACCTGGGTTCAAATTCCCACTTGGCCAAGTTCACTGGATGACAATGTTAAACCACTCCTTGAATATCTCACATATCTTGAAGATCCTGTAAGGATCACCATTAGTTTGAAGAAACTTGCTGGCTCATGGCAACAACAACAGGACCTACTAGTGACAAGTACTCACAAAGTCCGTGTTGATCAAAAAGGCACTATTATAAAGCACATATCAGTAGGTACTTTAGGACATTTAATACTGCACATCTATATATTAATTCGACATAGTGACCCTTGGCCATAGAAAGTTCATATATCTTTCCTTTTCTTCCTCTGTTATTAATAATTTTTCCCTCACTGGCCTTTCACTATCTAACTGTAGTCAGCAGTTTCTCTCACATGTATGCTACTGCCCTCTGCTCTCTAGCAACTCATGCTATTGACAAATTAGCAATCTTGCATGCAGATCTAACACATGGTCAGATGGGAGGAAGGAGCCTTTCACCAAACTAACTTGCGTGTTAGTTTGTTTGCATTCCTGACCAATTAGATGGGTACATCTTTCCACAGCTAGAAGAAACCCCTCCCTCCTCTTCTTCCCTCCTGCTCTCCTCTTCTTCCCTCCTGCTACACATGTTTACTACTTTTGTTTGTTACACTATTCTTCTTCCAAAATGTCCTTGGGAAAGATTCAAATTAAGCCTTCTCTGCATTGGCATGGATTTCTCCAGCTACCTGGAACTGAGAAATCCATCTCTTGCTACTTCTAATCTTCTTTTTCTTCTATTAACTTCTGATCCTTTATGAAGACTGCTGAATAGTGAGTAAACTGGTCATGCCAAGGCACACCCTTCCTCTTGCTTGGTGTTTCAACTAATCAAAGACTTTGCCTGCCTGTTATGGCTTTCCCAGTTTGATTATCAAGAGCCTAAGATTTCCTGCCATTCTTCTTCCCTATCTTTGGCTGTGTCTGTGGACTTTCCAACCATCTTCTGATTTCTTGGATTCAGTCTGAGAATGACTATGCAGCTCATATTTGATCTGAATTCTTGACCATTACTTTCCTTCACAAATCAGCACTAGCAGAGAAATAGTTATAAACTGAAGCTAGTCTTTAAAAGATAGTTCCACAATCCATGTAGCCCTGCTACATTCTCATTCTCATAACTAGGGTATTTATTTGAGGGAAGACTGAAAAACTCTTGTCAATCATGTGCTCATTAAGTGTCTGTGTGCTACAGTGGTCAGAAAGTACTGGATTAGAACTAGTGAGATCTCGGTTCATGCCCCCACCTCCAGCCACAGAGCTTAGCAAGTGTGTGATCACACAGTGAAACAGATCACAATTTGGAACATTGGAGAGCAGTTCAATGTTATCTATTCCTCAGCAATCCGAGGACATACAGGAAAATGCAGTCTAGCCCTACCCGGCTCAGCGCTGCTGCAGGGGTCCTACCTTTTGGGACTCAGCTGCAGGGAATCCCTGGCAGGTGAAAGGGTTCCTTGAGGGAGACAGCTCCCATTAAAGCAAGCCTTTAAGTGGGTGCAATCAAGTGGGTGCCTTTGCGGACAGTTGATCACATCCTGGGGGCCTTTTGTCACATCAATATCTCTCAAATGATAAATGGCTGTCACTGTGAACGTGACAGAGGAAGTGCTGTGGTGAGGTAGGGAGAATCTGTGTCCATCCATCATCATGCATACATTTTCTTTCCAAGTGGAAAGGTTGGGTACTGAGACACCTATATTTATTTATCTATTTTGTCCATTACTGTACTTTTTAAGATATTTTCTTTTAAGCAAGCGAGTGGAAGTGTAAACACTAATCCCTGCCATGCAAGTGTTCCAAAGAAAACAGTATGAAAACAGTACAAACAAACAGTATCAAACCAGCCATTTATTTGGTAATAAACGCCCCCTACTTTCTTTGCCCAACCACCAACACCACTACATCAGCATTGTGCGAATTAACACAGAATCTAGGAATCAATGGCTACAGAAGAACAAAGCAGCAGGTTGGAATAACATGGCGTTAACAAGCAACAATACATTTCAGAGATGTCTCTCTTTGTAGACAGAGCACCCAGGCTCCAGGCACTGGGAATGGCAATGCTGATTCCAGATGTATTTACTTGCCCCTTCTTTGCCCAAAGTAACGCTTGTAGGCAGCAACATAACCATGGCGCATTGCGTAACGCTCACAAGGAATGTACTCCTCGCATCTCTCCCTCTGGAGTTCCTGGGGGCTCTTGCTGCGCTCTCGAATCCTGCTCGCACAAGAAGAAGAAGAAGAAGAAGAAAAATCGCTCTCGAATCCTGCTCACACAAGAAGAAGAAGAAGAAGAAAAATGAGAGGAAAGAAGCAAGCAAGAAAGATACAGTTAGAGGAAAGAAGCAAGCAAGAAAGATACAGAATGATTGTTGTGACTTGCTTCTTACTCTGCCCTCGTACCTGTCAGGCAAAAACAAAATAAAGATAAAAAGTAAAGAAGGCAAAAATGTTGTGGCACCTTCAATACTAGCTGCTATTTTTTAATGTAAGCTTTCCTGGACAAGTCTGAAGAAGTGATACCAGCTGCTATTTTTTAATGCAAGCTTTCCTGGACAAGTCTGAAGAAGTGAACTTATCCATGAAAACTCACATTAATATATAGCAGTTAGCCTTGAAGGGGCCACAACGCTTTTGTTCTCTTTATTTTTACATTTTTCTTTTGTTTTTGCCTGAAAAGCTAACACAGACTAACACGGCTACCTCTTTTAAAACTTCCTTATCTATGTCAGTGAAATGCTTTATGTGAGCCATTCCAGTTTCTGCAGTCTATACAAGACAACCTGAATATTTTCAGGATTGTATTTGAAAATGTGACAGCTGTTTCACCCCAATATTTCTTGTCTAGAGACGACATCAGACAGTTTCTACAGTGGGGAGGGGCCTGCCCTTTAGAAACAAAAATGTAGACTAGGCTTAAAACAGTGTGAAGCAAACAGTAGGCTGCATGTGGGGACAAGGTATAATAAGATTTTAGACCAACCACATGGAGGATCCAATTTTAAAAAATGCCCTTTCTCAAGAAAATCCTTCCCAAACCAGAAAACCTGCAGATCTCTTAGAGTAGACTACAACTCAGTGGTGTAGTGGTTCAACTGCAGTACTGCAGTCAAG